TGAATAGAGAGTGGATCAATCAAGGCGAGCGATTTAATCAGATGAAGGTGGCGACCAAACTTTATACCAGCACTTGAGGACATCAAGAAGGTGAAAAGCCGTCCAATGTTATGACTCGGGGACCCCAGATTTGATGACGTGGGGTATGCGGGGGGGTAGCAAGGGCTAAAGAGTCGCAGTACCTCGGAGAGATAAGCCGAAAGCCGCTTTGAAGGGGAATGGGCCCATATGAACCGATGTAATGTCAATGCATTGGAGGACGCTTCTGTTGGGAATGGAGAGTTTCGGCGCGCCGTTTGGTGACCGAGTCAAATGCCGACACTTTGTCCTATTCAACATTGAATGCTTTGCTTCAGTCTCACGGATACACACCCTACATTCTTAAAGTTACCTATCCGATTAAGGTTCTACCATCTAACCCCGATGCCGATAACGCCTGCTTCCTATCCGCTTTGCACTTGTATATGGTTTGTAAAGACCACACATCAAATGTTTGCTTTGGCTGGCTTCTGCTCTGGCACTTGTGTCACCAACTTGTCCTCCTTGATCGCCGACTTCAAATTGTCCAGAACGAGCAATTCCATATCTCGCTGTGTTTCAAAGGTTGCAGTGCCCATATGAGGCAACAGCACGACATTTTCCGCCTCCAAGAGACCTGGGTGGATTTTGGGCTCCTCTTCAAAAACGTCCAAGCCTGCCGTCCACACCTTGCCACTTTTTAATGCATCCACCAAAGCAGCTTCATCAATCAGAGGGCCTCGGGCCGTGTTGACAATCACGATACCATCCTTCATCATGTCAAACTGCGCCTTTCCAATGATATGCCTTGTGGAAGCATTGAGGGAGAGGTTGAGGCTCAGCACGTCGGACGTTTTCAAGAGATCCTCAAAGGTGACATATTTTGCGCCCTGCTCCTCGTTAGCAGGCAGTTGTCGTCGATTGTGGTATTGAATCTTCATTCCGAAGGCTCTTGCTCGCTGCGCTACCGCCGAACCGATTCCGCCCATACCCAATATACCAAGCGTTTTGTTCTTGGGGTCATGGCCAAGAGAGAAATTGCCCCGCCATTTGCCTAGACAAAATCAGCCCTGTTGTAGCTCTCTGGAAAGCATCGTGTGCATAGTACGCACCGTCATGAACAGCCTGGAAGCTCTGCTTAATGTTGCGGAGTGCTCCTAGCATGAGCCAGATTGCGACATCCGCCGTTGCGTCATTAACGGCAATCGGCGTGCTGGACACGGCAATGCCCCTCTTGGTACAGGCATCGATATCGATATTATCGTAGCCCGCGCCGTTATGACATATGAATTTCAAGCTCTTAGGCAGTGCATCGAGGAGCTCAGCATTGAAGTTGCCGGTAAGCTTGTTCGAGTCGTTGCTTCGGTAAAGCGCGTAGGTGCCGTCAAAAGCTCCGCTCTTGCATTTGGAAATGAAGTCTTCTCGAGAAGCCCCCGCGACCGGGTACTCGTAGAGTTTCGACGCAAGCTTCCCGCAGTCTTGCTCCCATTCTTTTTGGGTATGTACGAGATTGCCGATCAGGAGTGCTGCTCGTTGCGACATGTCGACTGTTGACTGTTGATTGTTGCGCAGCTTAGGGCTTGTGGTGGTTCAATTCAATGGGTGGAGGGGGGATGAGGAGGTTGGAAGTCGGGAAAAGCGTAAATCGCTTTGGCAGGGAAGACCAGCGGCGACTGCCTCATTTATTTTGTGTGGACGTAGCCACAAAAACGCGGGCGGGTGTCGGCTGTTTACATTTGCACCTACACTATAAGTTACGCAAATACTCGCACATGGTCCATATGGGACCGGGCACTATACATGTATACATCAGGCCGCCTTCTATTCCGCGGTGCTCATCTAGCTTGTACATGTATGCGTCTTGGAGAGATGGCACACGTGTAGCTTTGAGGCTACATACGCAAATGCCATGTGCATTCATTGGTGTGGATAGTTGCTGGTTTCGGGCCTTGCTGCATTACAACCAATAAAAATACATATACCGTCGTTACCTCACCAAGGGGAATGGCCTATCATGTGGGAAAAGGGACAGCGGCACATTTGGCCATCGATAAAGATGCATGCGGGAGGGAAGCCTTGGATATCATATCTTATCGTTTCTTCACCGTGTAACTTTGGAGCACCTACGGAACGGAACGTGTGTATTGGACCTCGGACCTTCGGAATGCGACATCGGAAAGGCAGAACATTTGAAGGCTTGAAGGCACACCACCTGGGCACAGGGAACGGGCGGGGTTTGATACATGTGCCTCGGTCACTCGCTAAAGTTCAAATCGCCAAAGTTCAAAAGCCGACGCCGACCCTAATAACCAACGTATCGGGCCATTTCTATTACCCGAGCGCAATCCCCCCCCCTGGAACATGTACCATCCCGGTCACTCACAAGTGCGAGAGAGAATACATACATACTTCTAGCAATGCAGCAGTATACAAGTAGAAGGCGCACGCTCCAAGCAATTTTGTAACGCTTTGTTGCTTAATACCTATTCACATACACCATGAATGGGCCCGAAGGTTAATTCGCTGGTCGGATTATTTTGTCCGACAACCTACCTATTAGACATGCAGGCAACAATAGGCAGCGTCCAGGCAGTTTTCAGGCACACCAATAGATGCCTGCCATCTCCTCCTTATACAATCTGCAACTCATATAGTTGAAGACTTCTTGTACAACTGAAGTTTTTCAATCGCGCCCAACAACATGGAATTGAAGAATATCGCTATTCTCGGTGTAAGGTAGATCCGTGAAGAGAGGCTCTTCGTTCCATCCGGACTAACACTACAACAAACAGCCTCGAGGCAGCGTCGGAAGTGGCCTGATTGCTGAACTCATCAAAGAACCGACCCAATTCACAGCCATCTCGCGACATACCTCTACTTACGTATCAATAACCCCCGCTCACTCCAACATCACCAACAAAAGGGCCGACTTCACGTCGCTGGAGTCTCTGAGCGAGGCCTTCGCTGGTCAAGATGCGATCGTCAATTGCGTTTCTGGCAGTGCTACTCAATACGACCCCTCCAAGCTCATCATCGACGCTGCCGTGGCTGCCGGTGTTCGCTTTTACTTTGCAAACGAATTTGTAGGTAATATTAAGAGCGAGCAATTTATCCGCATGCCAGAGTCAAATGTAGGCGCGAAACCGCGGATCCGCGAGTACCTAGAGGAACTTGGCAGACAAGAAACGATCCAGTGGACAGCACTGAATGGGGGTCCGTTTTTCGACATGTGTAAGTGACTCGACGAAGATTTAGCAGTCAGTGACTGATGACTCTTGATTACGCATACTAATTGTTTCTTCAAGGGCTTATGAAAGGTCCCGCTGGCTTCGATATCCCCAACCGCCACGCACGAATCTACGGCACAGGAAACAACCCTCTGTACTGGACGCCTCTCCCCACTATTGTCCGCACCGTCGCGAAGATGCTCATGGACCCCACACCTTTTGTCAACCACCCCGTTTACATTTGCCCTTTCATCGGCCTTACTCAGAACAAGCTTCTCGCTGCGTTAGAATCCGTCCTTGACACCAAATTCAGCACCACCGCTGTGGATGTAGCCAAGATCAATAAAAATGCCAGGATTGCATTGGAGCGAGGGGAGTTTATGAAGGCCATGAGGGGATTGTCGATTAGCTACCAGTTCTATGAGCGGGACAGTGGAAATGATTTGAGTGGTCTGTTAGAAAATGAGAAAGTAGGGGTGGAGCTTGTCGGTATCGAGGAGGCTGTGAGAGAGGCCATTGAAAGATGGGGGGAGGATACGCCAATTGTACAAGGAATGTACATGGTGGAACCTTGTGAAGTATAAAATCACCATATGTAAAGAATGGATAGGACCGAATGAGCACAGGTTAAGTGGTTGCTACAATCAAGCAAAACTTATTCATCATATTGATGCGGACTCTAAGTGTCTGAACGACGCGGCATATGAAAGTAGGCTGGCCAGTGTCTCCTAATACTCTTCTAGACATGTAATAGCACATTGTATTCCCACCATAGGGCCATCAATATGAGATATGCTCCGGAAATACAAGCCCAAAGTGCCACATGGACACTGTATATCCTCTTGCTTAACCAGTTTCAACAGCGCATCCCTCTTGTGCGGTGCAATTCCGCCGAATACACTCAAGTCTCATTGAGCTAAGCATTAAAGCCAGTGATCAGGTACCGTATTCACATGTCCCCATTTATTACTATGTATCCCAGAATGTAATCAGGCCCTCTATATAGATGTATAAAAGTATGCTTTGTTTATCTAAGCACACCTTGTAAATGACATGCGGTTAGTGCTGATAATGCATATTGTCGCTATTCTAGGGGGAGTGCTAGGTGCGAAGATTATAGAAAAGCAGTATATTATCACTTTTCTGAAAATATAATCATAAATGATAAATGCTACTAGTTCCTCCTTCCGGCTACATGGAGGGTCTTCTACCCTTTTCGCATAAATTCTTGTTGCATTTTTTAGTGTGTGGAAAGGTCAAGCTGGGTGTATCATAACCATCCAAGTTGAAGTGTCTGTAGAAATTTTATCCAGGAACCATGCTATATAAAACGGATAATCGCTTATTGAAGCAAACTGTCTGGAGCAGGAGAGGCTACCCTCCAGTTGACAACTAAGCGGCGTCATCCGCCGAAGCAATTCCACGCATATTACCACAGTTCTGAGTGGCCCTCGATCCGTGTAGCGGATGGACGAATATCTACTGGATGAATTGCTCCCTACCGAAAAGCATGGTGAAGCAGAACCGCAAGTTTGTAATTTCCTATGGGTTTTGCATGGAGCATGTCCACATGAACACATAAGCTGCACAGTACAGTCTCTACACTAAGTAACAAGAAGCAACAGCGTCGTAGACTCCAGATTTTTTGAAAGGGGGAAAAAAGAAAAAAGAATAAGAAAAAAATGGAACGAGCCGTTTCATATTCAACCCGTTCCATCTTGTTCCACTCTCCGAGCAAGAGGTGACAAAAAGAGATGACTCAGCCGAGGTTTGAACTCGGGACCTTCAGTGTGCTAACATCTGTTAGACTGACCTAAATTGATTGTTAGTTGATGCTGCTTGAGTGTGAAGCGAGCAAGAGAGGATGACTTACGTGATAACCAACTACACCACCGAGCCATTTTTGTCATGGGCGATGAATTTTTTTTAAAATTATGGTAATATGTAGACTCATTACGCTTTCAGAATGGCCTACATAACTTAAGCGCGGTTACGTAACGCCATGTGTAAAAGCAGACTTGGCAAAGCCAACTTTGTGTGATCTCAATCTCGATCTCTGAACGTCAACATCAACACCAATTAAACTTGAAACAGTGGATGGTACAGATGATTTGGAAACACAGTGGTATTTTAGTTTCAAAAAGCAAAGAGTACATGAAAAGGAACGATGCGCCGCCGGTATGCATGCGCTTCTCGTCGTATCGCTATATGTGGTATCTTAAGAAAAGAAAACAAGGTCGTAAAAGTTGGCGACTTATCCAGGCCCTTTGCCTCGCCCATGCCCATATCCATGCTAATGTAGTCTTCCCTACCATGACTCCCAATAAATGTCGTTAAGGGTGTATCTTGCTGTCGTTAAATTAAAATTCGTTAAGTAAATGTGTTGAGCAATCCTACGTCGCAATGTAGGTAAATCATTTGAAAGTGACCGGTACGCCAGGGTGCATGTTCATCATGTAATGGGGCCCAGGCATAGTGCCGCCACCAAACACGCCTCTCGACTGACTTTCCTGACTTTTCGGTCTTCTGCGCTGCTGCTCTTCCTCCCACGTCACATTGCTACTGGCCTGACTTTGACTTCTGCTGCCTTCAAGCTTCCTTCTCGCCCAATACTCTGCAAGCCCGTAATCCTGCTCGTCCTCATCTCCTAGCCTTCTCCGAGTAGAAGCGCGAGCGTACGCAGAGCCGCGCCTCCTCACGCATAGCTGAATCAACGCGATGAAGCTGAACACGAGGATGGAGACAGCCAGATAAGTCAGGATAATAGGAGTCGATGACGAGGAAAGGTGGAGCCCGAGACCACCAGTAAGGATGAGTAGTGTTAGTGTTAAGCTTGTGAGGGGAGCGTGGAGACGTGGGATCCATGATTTGAGGCTTGCGATACGCTTCATAGGAAGGACGGAGATAAGAGTCATGGGGAGAATGGCAAGGAAAGCGAATATTTGGTGGGGAGAGGTGAAAGCTTTGGACTATCCGTGCATTAGTAAAGAGAACAATCGTTGATTATGAGAAATGGTCCGAACTTACGCGGTTGTACTGCCCGCTGGTGGCAATACCCAGCGCATACGACATGATTAAACACACCATGATAAATGTAGAGAAGCCAATGTGAATTTTGATGTTTCTGAGGAATCCGGCCAAAATGATGTTGATCGGCCACAACACAAAGATGGCCAAGCAGCCCATGATGGCATGGGCGAGGCTTTTGCTATCACGATCCCTTACAAGCGGACTTTCGCTGCTGACGCCACTGGATTGGGATGAGGGAGCGGGAACCCCGCCTTTCCCTGTTGCTTCGCGCATGTTCATGGAGAATGTACCATAATTGTAGTGTCGTTTCAGGGGCGCATCCGGGCGATCCGAGTTGAGATTCTTCGCAGGCCCAAATGCATACAACATGGGTTGCGCAGTGCTATCAGCATCAAGGAAACCGTTGGGCCACACGCGGCAGCTGCGACATAGAGCTTTCAGCACAAACATGCCGTCACTGACACCGGTTCCTGGTAGCATGTCCAGTTTGACATCGGGAGAAAAGGTAGGTTCGGAATGGCCAGTTGCTATGCGAGGGCTGGCGGTGATGTCTGCAACATGTCAATATGGGTCGGTAGAATTCATCATGGCAAGGTACGGAGTGAGCATACTGTCGCCCTTTGCATTCGCATACACAACCAACATGAGGGCATTCTTCATGCCATGCCCGAAACCAACGCCAACCCATGAATAGGCGGGAGAGGTCAAGTAAACGAAGACGTCATTGGAATCGTTGGCGAGGTTGAAGGAAAATTGAGTCTCTGTTTTGGGGAGGTAAAAAGTCGACGCCGCTGAGGTGTTCTGCGCCGTAAGGGTTGCTGTGAAGACTACATGTACAGTCAGTTTGGCGCATGTGCAGAAGGTGAAGGTAGAGACGTCATGAGTAGAAGGATGGATTCCAACTTACAAGTCAACAGCAGCAGATACAAGACCGCGCATCTCTGATGAAGAGAACCCGACATGGTCAAACTTCACCCAGTGCAGAACATTGGAGGTGTGGATATGTAGTCAAGAGTAGGGAGCTCGAGTGAAAGGAAAGGGAAAGAAAGGTAGTGGCCAAATGAAGCAAGAGGCAAAACCAATAACGCGCAAGAACCAAAGCAGCAGGTGTCAGCACTCGGTCGCACATGTACTTAGGTAGGTAGCTACCGTACGGTACCGTATCGTATCGTTTGAAGCTGTGTCGTGTCGTGTCGTGTCGTGTCGTGAGCAGCCGGGGCCTTATAAGATGCATTCAGCATAGCAGACGCCACGCTGCCATCGGTCAGACTTGTATCGACTGCAAGCGCCCAGGGAGGCAGCGCCCTCTTGTTGGATCAGAGCGCGGGCGCGTAACAGTCATACTGCAGCAACTTAAAGGTAGACTTGCAGCGCAGACGGTGTAAATGGGTGTAAGAAGGAGCGCTGATCGGCGAGGTGCTACGCTCCTTGCTCCCTGCTGTGGGTGGCCCGGCTGCCCAATTGGCGGCGTCGCACTACCTACATCGCACGCCTAGGTAGCGGGCGGCAGCCAAAGTCAGGGGGCGCCCACCAACCGCCAGCCGCCGCCATGCCCCCTCCCCCTCGCATCGCATCGCCTTGCCTGCACTCAACTGCATTGCATCGTCGGCGAATTATTTATAGCAGGGGCTCATTGCTGGCACTGGCACTGGCACTGCCATGGCAGTGCTTTTCTCATCGCTAACCTACATACTGTACTTGCATTATCATCCATCCAGTATGTATCATGAGCAGCACCAATTGGCAAGCCAAACGTGAAACTGCAAGACTGCAAAACTGACTGCAAACCTGCAAATTGGAAACTGGAAACTGGAAACCGGAAACCGCACAGTTGAGACCGCCTGGGAGAGAGCGCTAGTCATGTTGTTGTGGCGTTTCCGATCCATCCATCTTGCCCATCCATACACAGTAGTAAATACCTAACTTACACCACTGTCCAGCGGCCGCCAGCCAGCCGAACGTTTGGTCTGCCGGCCGGCTAGCCCGCTTCCCGTCGCCTGGCCTGGCCTGCCCTGCCCTGGCGAACCTCATCAGAATCTCACTCCTCATCAATTAATTCATTCCATCTCACTCCACTCTCTCGTCACTTGACCATCATGACCTGGTCCAATCTCTCCACATGCACTCGTCAAATGCATGCCTATAACCAACTGCGTGCTACTGTCTACATCATGATGCTGCTCATCGTCCATGTGCCGTGCTGCCGTTAATTTATTCATATTCTAATAATGATTCGCTCTTACGCATCCGACAGGAAAAGAACAAGTACAACCAAAACAACTTCACCCTTCCCCCAACCCTGCCTCGGTCCTCGTATTCCTCCGAGCTGACCAAAACACAAAAAAAGGAATGCAAATAGACCGCCCACCCAAAAACAAATTCCGTCAGATTCCACATGGACTGCTTCTCCATCTATGCTGGCCATGACAAGTCGTAAAGGGATACCCAACAGGGCCAACACCAAACTCCAAAGTCCAGACAAGCACTCCGCTTGGGTCATTATAGCGTCATAGCGTCATATCGTAATGTCTTTCACCACCATCTTCTAACCTTCTGTCCACACACTGCACCAAGACACACCATGTCCTTCCTTTCTGAATATTATCCTTGTATTCTGCATGCAGAAAAGGCGTTCCGCGAGAGATAAGGTGCGCTGTCCATATCGCGCCTGAGAATCAGCACGCTATTGCCATTTTCCAAATGTGGAAAAGCTCAAGTAGGAATATCGACCCCGTGCGGAAGACAAGTGTGATCCGCAAAGACCCTTGCTGGGGTGCGGGGATAATTTCAGAATGGAGGGCATCTATCTGTATCGAGACCGGTGCACCTCGTGCTCGTAGTATCGATCGTCCCAGGTACTTGGTGCAGGGCGGCGCTCCCGAACCTCTTCACGCTCATATTCAATTTGGCGGATGCGCGACTTCCGACGGCGTCGAATGTCATCCGAGATCTCTACCAGTTGTAGAACATCCTCCTGTATTCTTATTAGCTCTGCATTCCCATTTTAGGTAGGGGGCAACTTACGTATTTGAGGTACTCCATCACATAGAAGAAATCTTCCGTCTCCTCACAATCATAGCCCATGGAGTCGATCGCCTCCCTAATGACCAAATCCTTCGTAATCTCTGTCCACATGTCTTTCGTTTTCGATTTGACGGGAGCAGGGCCACCAAAGTCGGTCGCCAGTTCTTCGTCGCCACTAATGAACTTCGAGCGGCGCACTCCATTGTATCGTTGCCAAGTGATCTCCTGGGCTCCGCCTCCTATACCGTCCATACGGACTCGGTTGGTACCCGGAGGGACGTCTACGATGGCCCAGTCCTTGGTGGCGCCATTCCACCCCTCGCCAGGATATCCACGTTCCATTGCTTTCCGGTTGTAGTAATCAGCTTCCATGTCAAAATCGGACTCAGCAGGCATAGTACGGGCCCGCCTAGGTGCGCTCAACGAACGTCCACGGCGGCTGACCTCATCCCGACCCTTTCGTTCGATGGTCTCGCGTTCGTATACGATGTCCTCTTCAAAGTCTCTGCCAGGGTTCCGACTCCTGCATACAGTTAGAACATTTGTGTGGAGAGGATAGAGAAAAGGCGGGTAAGACTTACTCGTTTCGTCGGATTGAGATCTCAAGACTTTCATTGCGGGGAGGCGACGGAGGTGGCGGAGGTGGCGTCGGAGACCTGGCTCGCTCGACTCCTGGAAGCAAGTTAGGCGCTTGTTTGGTGAATACAAGACAGATACGTACCGTGATCAATGTGTCTATGGTGTGTAATAATCTCTTGGATGATAGGAGGCCTGACTTCGGGCTCTGGTGGTGGAGGTGGGGGAGGGAGAGGTGCAGGTGGCGGGGTAGGAGAACGCTCTTCTTT